GGGCAGACAGAAAGTGGAAGGAGACATCAGCATATCTGTGTTGTTTGTCTTGTTATAACAAGCACGCAATGAGTTTATGATTTTTTTTTTAATAAAGTGAAAAAAATTTTGAGAGAATAGGTTTGAGACATAGACAGATGGGTTATAATCTAGTTTCTGTCACTTAATAGTTGTGAGAGATTTGGTAAAGTATTTAACCACAGTCGCCATCTGTAAAGGACTTCCCTGGTGGGTCAGACAATAAAGAATCCACCCGCAACACGGAAGACCTGGGTTTGATCCCTGGGTCGGGATGATCCCCTGGAGAAGCGAACAACTACCCACTCCTGTATTCTGGCCTGGAGAATTCCATGGACAGAGAAGTCTGCCGGGTGACACAGCCCATGGCGTTCTCAGAGAGTTGGACACGACCGAGCAACTTTGCCTTTCACTCATCTGTAAAAGGGGAGTAATACCTACATCACCTTGTGTGAGTAAAGGCAGTAACATATGCAAAGCAGATTGTAATCCCTCTGTAAATTTTAGTTTCTTTTTCCCTCTATACACGCAATTTGTAGTAGAATATTGAAACACAAGCAAAATATGTTGGCTGTGGTACCAGTGTGTGTTATCCTGATGTGCGTGATGTGGCACTGGCCTACCAAAGGGGTGATACAGTGGCTCTGTTTGCTTCCCTTAGTCCTTATAGAGATGAAGAATAATGTACAATGGCGCCATGCCTCTCTGGTGTTATTTACCTGGTGCCTCAGTTACAAGTAACCCAGCTGCAATGTAGAGAGGAAGGAAGAGGGCCTCTCAATAGCCAAAACAGATGTCTGACAGTCAGGCTCCTATGCAATCATTTATTCTTACTTTAGATAACCCGAACAAGCTTTTCCAGTAATGATGCTATGGCAGTTACCCTGAGAGCAGACAGGAGGGTCTGAGCCCAGGCGTGCATGAAAGACTAAAATGCGAACACAAGTACTCAGGAAGCCAGATGGTCTGGGGCTAGGCCCTGTTTATTCAATGAATAACTGGTCTTCATAATGACGATGCTGAATTATTAGGGAGAAATTAATTCATGCTTCATATAATCTTGTAAAGGCCCCTAATTAGAGGGTGATACAGTCTAGAAGTATTAGCTCCAAAGATGATTAAACTTTTCAGCTCCATTGTGTAAAAAAGTAAGTTTTGTTTTGGTATTAGTGCCAGAATATAACAGAGGTCTTTATCCTATGAGGGAAAGATAGTATAGCTGCCTGTAGTTAGAAGTCTGGACAGCCAAGCGTGGCAGGTGTTAGAAATTGTTCAAACAGGATTTTTAACTTGGAACAGCGGAATGATCTCTCGCAAGTACATTATTTGCTTTTTGACTAAAAGAATATCCACAGTCTATAATCGAAAAATCCTTGGGGCCTGATCAGTTTCGAAATTCAGAATTTTTCAGATTTCTTAAGCAGTAGTAGGTAATGTAGTAACCCTAGCAGAGTCTGACATAGCATACGATGGTCAAATATTGTTAATATTTCTGTAGTGAAGTATTTATTAGGACAAATAGTGGGTAGTTTATTTAAATAACAAAATCACCCACATGAAATAGTGGGATAAATACAGAATGTAAATACTCTAGTAGTCTTACTTCTAAGAAAACATTTTATAAATCTTTCAATATACACAGGATTGAATTCAGCTAAATATACCTGTGCAAAGACAAACGTGAACATTCGTCGCCCCTAGTTGCTTGAGCGTCTTAGGGGAGGAACCTCAGTGCCTGTCGCCAGCAGCAGCCGGAGCGCCCCCTGATGGCAGGAGCAGGACTAAGGGCCATTTTAAGTACTTTTCCTCAGTTCAAATGCTTCGTTAATTTAGGTTTCCATCTAAGTAGTCCCTCTTAAATTATGAAAACGACCATAAGCTCACCTCATTGATAAATGCGGCATGGTTCAAGGCTAGCCCCTGACTAATCACACATTTTCACCATCTCATGTAGGGCTGTGTTTTTCCACCTGTGTTTACAAATTCATCTCCATCATCACTGTTATCCTCATGATTATCTATATTTAAAGCCATTTCACACGGTCATTAGGATAGCTACTATCAGAAAAGCAAATCACAGGTATTGGAAAGGATGAAGAGAGATTGGAACACCTGTGAGCTGCTGGTGGGAATGTAAAATGATGTCGTCACTGTGCAAAAGCGTGTGACAGTTGCTCAAAAAATTAAAAATAGAATTACTATATAATCCAGCAATCCTACTTCTGGCTGTATACTAAAAAGAATTTAAAACTGGGTCTCAGAGGTATTTGTACCCCCATTTTCATGGCAGCACTGTTTTCATTAGCTAAGACATGGAAGCAACTCAAGTATCTGTCACTGATGCATGGATAAGCAAATTGTGGTATATATACATACAAGTCAGCCTTAAAAAAAGAAGGAAATTCTGCAATATGCTACAGTATGCATGAACTTTGAGGACATTAGGCTAAATGAAATAAGCCAGCCACAAAAAAGACAAATACTATATGATTCCACTCACTTGAGGTACTTGTTGTTGTTCAGTTGCTTAGTCATGTCCAACTCTCGCAGCCCCATGGACTGCAGCACGCCAGGCTTCCCTGTCCTTCACTACCTCCCAGAGCTTGCTCAAACTCATGTCCATCAGGTCAGCGATGCCATCCAATCATCTCATCCTCTGTTGTCCTCTTCTCCTCCTGCCGTCAATCTTTCCCAGCATCAGGGTCTTTTCTAATGAGTCAGATCTTCACATCAGGTGGCTAAAGTATTGGAGCTTCAGCTTCAGCATCAGTCCTTCTAATGAATATTCAGGATTGATTTCCTTTAAGATTGACTGGTTTCACCTCCTTGCAGTTCATGGGATTCTCAATGTTTTCTCCAAAACCATAGTTCGAAGATATTGATTTCTTCGGCGCTCAGCCTTTTTTTATTGTCCAACTCACATCTATACATGACTACTGAAAAAAACCACAGATTTGACTATACAGACCTTTGTTGGCAAAGTAATGTCTCTGCTTTTTAATACCCCATATAGGTTTGTTATTGCTTTTCTTGCAAGGAGCAAGCATATTTTAATTTCATGGCTGCAGCCACCGTCCACAGTGATTTTGGAGCCCAAGAAAACAAAGTCTGTCACTGTTTCCATTGTTTCCCCATGTATTTGCCATGAAGTGATGGGACTGGCTGCCGTGATCTTCATTTTTTGATTGTTGAGTTTTAGGCCAGCTTTTTTTCACTCTCCTCTTTCAACTTCATCAAGAGACTCTTTAACTCCTTGAGATACTTAGAGTAGTCCAAATCTTAAGCACAGAAATTATAATGGTGGTTACCAGGGGCTGAGAGGAGGGAAGTCTGGGGAGTTAGTGTTTGTAGGTAAAGAGTTTAAGTTTTACAAGGTGAAAAGAGTTTTGGGGATGGATGATATGGTGATGGTTGTGCAACAGTGTAACTGTATTTTAATACCACTGAATTGTACCCTTAAAAATGGTTAAGATGGAAATTCCCTGGTGGTCCAGTGTTTAGGACTCTGTGCTTCCACTGCAGGGGACACAGGTTCAGTCCCTGGTCAGGGACTTAAGATCCTGCATACTGTGTGGTGCAGCCAAATAAACAAAACACCAGTCCTTAAAAAAAAAGATTTAGCAAATATTCACTTACAAAAAAATAGTTAAGATGATAAATTTTATGATGTGTAATTTTACCACACACACAAAAAAATACATTCACACACACACACACACAAAGCCACTTCAGCATTTTCTCACTCAAGACATGCCCAATGGAAGTATTATCATCAATGTGGAATGTTTCTTTGATGTCAGTTTATACTTTTAGCTCATAAACTTTGAGCAAAAAGTAGTCTTCTCATTAGTGATAGGAAATCCTTTAAAGTATTCATCGCTGGATTTTGCTTCAAACATCACTGTAAACCAAAAAATACAAGCATTATTAAAAATAGACTTTTAATTTTGAATAATCTTAGATTTGCAGAAAAATTGCAAAGATAGTATGGAGTTCCCATATACCCTGAGCCCATCTTCCACTAATGTTAAATAACCATGGCATATTTGCCAAAAGTAAGAAATTAATGATGGTATCATAGTATTCCTTAAAGCTCACACTTTATCAGATTTCACCAGTTTTCTCATTAATGGCCTTTTTTTTTTCCTGGTCTGGGATCCAATTCAGTTTACCCCAGTGCCTTTCATCTTCATGTCTCCCTGGTTTCTCCTTGAATCTGTGGCAGTTTCCATGTTTCCTTGTTTTTCACAACTTTAAAACTCTCGAAAAGTGTTGGTGAGGTATTTTGAAAAATGTCCCTCGAACTGAGTTTGTCTGAGTTTTCTCATGATTAGTGACTGTTTATGCATATCAGTGACACACACTTTTAATGTTGATGTATCACTGTAATTCCAAGCCTGAGCACCTGATGGCATCCTGAAGACTGAACTTTTTCAGAAAGTCTTTGATTCTGAGATCCTTGTTAACTTCAGCAAGCAAGCATCTAGGACAGTATTTGTCTTAGTTGTTACATGATTTTACGTGTTCTTCACCGAGGATAATTCCACATCGGCATCGCAGGAAATTCAGGGTGGCGTTGCGGAGCACTTCTCTAGGAAAAGTCAAGTCTTGCCGCCCTTCCCAGGCGGCCTGCCTGCAGGGGATGCCCCCGTGGGTCCTCACTGACCCGCCGCTGTGCCTCTGGCTCCCTGTGTCCTCTCTGTGTCCTGCAGCCTGGGTAAGTCACGCGCGCCTTTCCGGCATCCGAGGCCTGCTCCCTCCAGGCGCTGCTGCTGGTCTACTGGGGCAGCGGTCACAGCACACCCACGGCCTGTGGTCACCCTGGTGTTGTGCGTGTCTTTCTGAAGGTGTATCTCCAGGAAAGAGCTGTTTCGTCTACACTGTCAATTTGTTCAAGAATAAGGTTTTCACCAGGCAGGATTTTATCAGATTTCCCCGTATAATTTTCTGATCATTAGAAGCTTTTTCCACTTGATTTCCAGATCATTCACACAATGATGCTTCTTCAATGTGCCTGCTAAGTCACTTCAGTCGGGTCCAACTCTTTGCAACCCTGTGGACTGTGGCCTGCCAAGCTCCGCTGTGCACGGGATTCTCCAGGTAAGAATACTGGTGTGGTTGCCTTGCCTTCCTCCGAGGGCTCTTCCCTGCTTCTTCAGTATCTGTAACCAGTTCTAATAAATGTTCACACATACCTTCAGGCTCTGTTCTTCATGGCATATATTCCAGTTACACATTCCCTTCTTGTGGAATCCACTGAGCCAAAACTTGGTCAAGGTCTTAACTCTTTTTTTCTATGCAACGTTTTCTGTTTTTTTATTTTTACTAATTTTTGTCCATCATCACTATATACCTTAAACAACACCTGTTTCTTTAAGTCATATTTAATAATTATTCTACTTCATAATTTCCAGTAAGATGCCTCACAGACTGCAGGATCAAGCTTCTGTAATGACATCACTGTGCTGTGCTGTTGTTAATGAGAGACACTTCCTTTCTTCATCTTATCTTCTCACTATTACCACAGGGTGTCTTTGACTCTGTTTGACGTTTTTACGGTTACAAAAGAACCAAAAAAAAAAAAAAAGCAACAAAACACCAGTATTCAGCAGATATTTTAGGAGGATTGTTATGACACAATTGAGTCTTAGGTCAGTTCAAGCCAGGTTTTGCTGCAAAATAAGTTTTGTGCCAAAGCTATGAAATAACTTTTGGTTTTAAGAGCTCTTAGACTTCAGAATTGCCGATAAGCAACTATGGACCCATTTAAAAAGTCTTTTGCCCATGCCTCATATCACGTGAGATCTTAGTTCCTGACTAGGGATTGAACCCGTGCCCCCTGCATTGGCAGTACAGAGTCTTAACCACTGGATTAAGGGACATCCTTAATGTCCATCATTATGTCCCTGTCCATACAGGGACATCTCATGGCCTACTTTTTTTGGAAGATATTTTTCATGTAGTGAAAGAAATAACAGTTCCCTTCATTAAATAATGTTTCTTAAGCACCTAGGACAGTGAGAATGCATTTTTGTTTGTTTTTTTGTTTTTAACCAGAGACCCCTTCAGCCTTGGAGCTCTAACTGCCAAACAAAGGTTCTGATTGGCACTGAAATTTCATTTATAGAAGCAACAAATATTTTGACTTGTATACGAAGTAATACTCAAAATTCTCCAAGCTAGGCTTCAACAGTATGTGAACCAAGAACTCCAGGTGTTCAAGCTGGATTTAGAAAAAGGAGAGGAACCAGAGGTCAAATTGCCAACATCCTCTGGATCATAGAAAAAGCAAGGGAATTACAGAAAAACATCTACCTCTGCTTCACTGACTATGCTAAAGCCTTTGACTGTGTGGCTCATAACAAACTGTGGAAAATTCTTAAAAAGATGGGAATATCAGACCACCTGACCTGCCTTTTGAGAAATCTGTATGCAGGTCAGGAAGCAACAGTTAGAACCAGACTTGAAACAACAGACTGGTTCAACATTGAGAAAGCAGTACCTCAAAGCTGTGCGTTGTCGCCTGTTTATTTAACTTCAATGCAGAGCACGGCATGCGCAGCACTGGGCCGAGTGAGGCGCAAGCCGGAATAAAGACTGCTGGGAGAAACATCAGTGACCTCAGATCGCAGATGACACCACCCTTACGGCAGACAGCGAAGAACTAAAGAGCCTCTTGAGGAGGGTGAAAGAGGAGAGTGAAAAAGCTAGCTTAAAACTCAGCATTTAAAAACAAAGATCATGGCATCCAGTCCCACCACTTCATGGCAAATAGTAGATGGGGAAAGAATGGAAACAGTGAGAGACTTATTTTCTTGGGCTCCAAAATCACTGCTGATGATGACTGCAGCTATGAAATTAAAAAACACTTGTTCCTTGGAAGGAAAGCTATGACAAACCTAGACAACATATTAAAAAGCAGAGACATTACTTTGCCAACAAAGGTCCATATAGTCAAAGCTATGGTTTTTACGTGGTCATGTATGGATGTGAGAGTTGGACTATAAAGAAAGCTGAGTGCCAAAAAATTGATGCTTTTCAACTGTGGTGTTGGAGAAGCCTCTTGAGAGTCCCTTGGACTTCAAGGAGATCTAATCAGTCCATCCTAAAGGAAATCAGTCCTGAATATTCATTGGAAGGACTGACGCTGAAGCTGAAACTCTAATCCTTTGGCCACCTGATGCGAAGAACTGACTCATTTGAAAAGACCCTGATGCTGGCAAAGATTGAGGGTAGCAGAAGGAGATGACAGAGGATGAGATGGTTGGATGGCATCACTGACTCAATGGATGTGAGTTTGAGCAAGCTCTGGAAGATGGTGAAGGACAGGGAAGGCGTGCTGCAGTCCACGGCGTCTGAAAGAGTCGGACATGGCTGTGCGACTGAACAACAGCATACAATTCAGGCCATGCATAAGATTTGTCAGCTTAATATATATTGCAGCCTCGGTATTTATATTGAAAATGGCTTAGATTTTTTACTGGTTTTCCCACAAATCCAGGGGTCTCAGGCTGCAAACTGCCACACATGTCCCAGGTTCTCCACACAGAAGTGAACATATGGTTCTTAGAAGCACGGAGTGGCTAACATGTGGAGCCCCCATATGAAGCTGAGCCACAGGTGTCCAGAGCTCAGGACTTAAACTTAGCATGAGCCCCAAGAAGGTTCATAGATCTTTGTTCTCAAAGCACAAAAGCAAGCAGAAGTAGAATTGGGGCTTCAGAGAAATGAGTGGCTGGGAGTCTGCTGAGGGGGACTAGGAAGAAACAGGAAGACCTGTGGGGGTAAGTGATGCCTGTCCTAGACCTTGTAGGGTGAGCAGCTTCCAGTGGGCGGGTGGGGAGGCACCCCGCCCTGGTGTCCGTGCCCTCGCTCTTCATCAGTAGTTAGATCCCCTTATTTCGCTGAAAGAAAGGCCAAGTACCCTTCCCCTTCTCCCTTGCAACTAGTAGAGACCACCAACTGGAATTCCCTCCGCAGCAGGGAAGCAGAAACGGTGTATACGGCTCAGGCAGTGAGGCAGGAATGTGCGGTGAGTTTGTAAGTCTTCAAGGAGCTGAGGGAAGTAGCAAGATGGCATGAAAGAAAAATAAAGCCTTGTGAAAGAGCCCGATGCAGTATTTTCCCCTGCCGTTGTTTCTCAGTAGCAGCTCCACACTGAATCGACACAACGCATCACTCAGAGGCCAGCCAGGTGCTGGTCTGTGGGATCGATACCACCCCACAGCAACAGACTTCATCAGGAGAGCCCCTGTCCCCGGCCCTTCCGTCGGAGGGGGAGAGGCCAGCGCCCTGCCCCTCACAGCCCGTTCATGACGCGGCTCTTGCAGCCCAGCTGTCATCCTGTCAGATACTTCTGTGTATTTAGCATTTACATTTAAAGAAATTACTACAGAGTAGGCCCAATTTTAGCTTACCTTACCTATTAAAAAAAAACAAACAAACAGAAAAACAGCCAGAAGAATGAATTTAGAAGACAAACCACTGAAAAGGGTGGTATCAATATTTAAGTTCCTACAATAAAAATCCTATAGTAACACCCCAAGGAGTGCAGTCCTCTGCTTTCTGCCTGTTCCCCAGGGTCCCCGTGTTAGAGGTACGGAGGCATTTAGTCACATCTTCAAAGTCAGCTTTACTTCCTCGGGATCGTTTCACACACTTACTGGAATTTCAGCCACAGCACAGGTGTTGGTATGGGATGTGACTAGAACTCACATTTCCCAGTATCTGACGAGGGTATTTCAACTGAAAAATAGATGTCAAAGTCAGTTCTGCCAGAACTGACAATAAACATAGTAAATCTTTGGGTCTGAAGTAGGTGATTTTTGTATAATAACCAGGTATTTGAATTACCAAGAAGTGTCTTAGCAATGGCACTGCCACTTTATGGTCTTAAAATAGAAAATACAGCCGCAAAGAATCTCCGTCTAGAAGAAATGTAGTGTGTTGGCACTTCAGATTTGAAAACATGTCAAGTGTACGGACTCTGTTAAGAGGGAGGCACAGTTTTAGTTGGAACCTGAAACTGATGTCGTCTTAATTTGTCAGGTCCTCCCCTGAACGTTGCAACCTGGCACGAGTTCTGCCAACCCAATTCTATGACAGGGTATGCAGGAAAGAATCCCTAAGTTTATTTACATTGCTTTAAGCATATGAAATACGTCCATTTCTTCATCATTTAGCTTAGCAGCAAGAGCATGAACGGAAGTTTCTTTGTGTTAATAATCCCTCAGGTACTTCTGCAGAACTCTGGGGCTGCAAATGCATTCTGTAGCATGTGTTGCCAAACGCAACATGTTTTTGGATCAGCAAAACTTTTTGTAAGATGTTCCCTAGTTCCAAGACTTTCTAACTTGTTCTGGATTTCTGGGTAGATATTTGTAACCCCCCCACCCCCCAAACTACTGCTTGACCTGTGAAACTCAGAAACTTCTAAGTGCAACGTACTGATCCGTTTGACTCCCTTACTGATGGGTGCCATCGACACAGCCCAGGCTCATCAGGGAGACAAAGCCAGGTGCTCTTCTTGGTGTGAAGCAGGAAACCTTGGCCAGGGCCTCCTGGGGTTTCAGAGATAATAGGGACAAGCGGGTCCTGGGAAGGCTGGTTAAGAAAAGCTGTCCAGGGAAGCCACCACGTCAGCCTCTGTTACCGTTATTTTAGAGGCTTCGTTTATCATCAGCAAAGCCTGGTCAGCTCTGTAACTGCTAATCCACTTTTCAGTTCCACAAACTTCTCTAGGGTGAGCCTGTTAGAATTGCAGAGTCTCTGGCCCCACCCTGGACCTAGTGGATCAGAATCTGCATTCTCCATAAGGTCTCCCAAATGATTCGCCTACACATTAAAGCTTGATAGCACTGGGATAGGGGTCTTGAGGTGAGCAGAGAAGGGAATTGTGTCGGGTTGACCAGGGGCACAATAGGATGGCCCAACACTGACGCTCGAGCTTGTAGCCCCGAGTGTCTCATGGCCCCGAGCCCCACGGCTGTGTGACGCTCCAGTAGCTCTTAGGCAGCTCGAGTGTAGAAACAAAGGCCTGCATTTGGACTGGCCTGAGGTTGGAGATCAGCAGAGGGGGCATGTGGGAAGGAGAGAAGGTGCAGAGTTAAGTGTGCGATCACGAGGATGGTGCAAAATGGCGTTGAGGCTGGGTGGGCAGAGGGGTGGCCGTGAAGGGAGAGGATGACAGCCTGTGTAGTTCTGAGAACAAAGCAGGTTCTCTGGTAAAGTGGGGAACGCTGCCTGGCAAAGCCACGGTCCAAGACTGCTACACAGGAGCTGTGGAACTGCTGCTGGGCACAGAGATCGTTGTGGGTGGAGGAAACGTTCTGTATCTGGAACTGTGTCATGGTATCCCCTGGCCACATGTGGCCATTGAGTACTTGACATGTGACTCTGTGGCTGAGGGGCTGAACTCTCACTTTTATTTGATTCTAAGTAAAATGACCACACGTGGCCAGGGGCTCCCATCTGGAGAGGCCAGGTCTAGAGTCTGCAGCCTTATGGGATCCGAAATTGTACATTCAGGCAGAAGTTTTTATTTGAAATATAAATTTTCATGCTGAAGAAGGATGCCTCAGTATTTTAGACCTAAAATTAACCCAAAGACACAGAACTCAACTCTTACTATAATTCTCAACTGCGTATCATCCACAGTCTAATAAAACAGAGGGAGAACCACTAAAGGAAGGAAGGAGATCAAGATAGAAGGATGCGGCAGGGAGCAGGGGGCAGTCACACTCTTCTCTGGCTGGTCGCCTGAGATCAAGAAGGAACTTTATGGTGGATGGGCCAGCACCTCATTTCCAGGGCAGCAACAGGAACCAGCCTTCAAGAGCTCAGTATCTTGTGCCTGGGATGTCCGCGCCCAAGGAAAGGGCTAGGGCTCCCAGGGGAGCCTCCCTCCCTCTGGGGAGGGGCACGGAGGACTGGCATTCCTGACAGCACAGTCCGCTGACTTCCCTCTTCTGCCACCAGGGGTTCTCAACTTCAGTTGCCTAAAAATCCCAGGGAGCTTGAAGAACCCAGATTCCCAGGCATCCTCCAGAGATTCTGATTCAGTAGGTCTGGAATAGAACCAAGAAGCTGAAAAAAAAGTTACTTAGTTTCATTGAGGTTGTGTTAAATACCAAAGGATGTACACAGTGAAAAGTGTATCTTTCTCCAGCCCAGCTCCTAGAGGCCAGGTCTCCCACACTCCTGTGATTTCT